TGATGTGCAAAACTGTTAGAGACATACCCCAAGCGACTTACAGCTGTAATCGCAGCAAAAGGTGGCGCTACAAAGTATTAACTTAAGGGGGCTGAATAATTTTGCACGCCCAATTTTTCAGTTTTTTTATTTGTTAAAAAAGTTTGACATATCCAATAAATTTCGTTCCACTTCATGATTGTGTCCCACTTGTTGTTGATTCTTCACAACAAATTACAGTTTTATATCTTTATGTTTGAAGCCTGAAATGTGGCAAAAGGTCGCAAAGTTCAAGGGGGCCGAATACTTTCGCAAGGCACTGTATATATATAAGTATAGATACTTTATAAGTATCTATGTATATTTTCCCATTTTGTTCTCTCTGTTTTTTCCTCATTTCCTTGTGGAAGAACATTGTACGTGCACACTGACAGCCACTGCACCAAAGTTAAATTCTTCATGTGTTTGACACACCTGGCCAATAAAGCTTGTTCTTATTCTAATTCTGATTATGTCCAGCACATCATATTTTATATTATTTACAACTATCTTCCATTTATTGAATCATAGCACTGAAATGAAATTGTATTTCAATGTCTAGATTCTAGGTGGTCAGAACTTCTACATGTGGCTTTAATTTCGTATTACTCAAATACTGCACTTAAGTGCAGTTTTGAGGTATCTGTACTTTACTTGATTGTTTTCATTTTCTGGTACTCATACTTTGACTGTTACATTTTAGAGTCAAAAAGTATACTTTTTACTCTGCTACATTTATTTTACAACTTTAGTAATGAGTTATTTTTCAGAACCAGATGGATACAAAAAAATACAGTATAATCATAAGACCTCATTGATCTATAGTGGAAAGTTCACAATCTACCCAGCAGCAATTCAAATTAAATGCATATAAGTTAGTTGAAACTAGCTTAACCCCCCCCCCAACCCCAACCTAAACTGCATGTCTTTGGACTATGGGAGGAAGCCGGAGTACCCGAACAGAACCTACGCAGGCACAGGGAGAACATGCAAACTCCGCACAGAAAGGCCTTGGGTCAGCCTGGGCTCGAACCAGGAACCTTCTTTCTGTGAGGCAACAGCACCAACCACTGGCATTTAAGAGGTTTCAACATGACTTAAGGAGGTATTCACTCAAAATAGGCTGAGAACCACTGTTCTACATAGTATGTTCATGAAAATGTTTAAAAATTTGAATGAATGAGTGTCCACACAGTTGCTTGTGTGTGCCACTGTGCACAAACATAAAGCTTAGATAATCTGTAGTGTCATTACAACATGCCTGGTTCTCTCAGAGCTTAATTCCATTTAAAAAAAGTGATCATCACGTTAAATGAAGTCAATCCCAATGCATTTGCCATTTAGTCATATGGTGCAAAAAACCTTATTGTGTGTGTGGGGGGGAGAGGATTTAAACAGTCAGTGTGAAAACCTTATTGTGTGTGTGGGGGGGAGATTTAAACAGTCAGTGTGGGGACTCAATGTCCTTATGGGGACATAAAGCAAGTTCTCAAAACATAAATCATGAAATTTTAGAGTGATGATTTGGTTTGAGGTTAGGATGGGGGTTAGGGTTAAAGTTAGGGTAAGTCAGTGTCCAGTGAAGTTATTGAAACTGTGTGTGTGTGTGTGTGTACACATGCATGCTCAACTTTTTTGAGCCCTTCATAGTGCTGGATTTATAATTGATGATGGATTTAAGATCAGGTATGAGGGTCGAGGTAAGCCATGTAGTGCTGCTTATTATAGCTGCTTGTCAGTGCTTCTTGCATGTTTTAGCCACAAATTATGTTTGTGTTACATTACAGCCAGAGCATGACACAGGTTGTGAGTGATTGCCTTTAGCTCCCAGGCAGCCATCAGTTTCAGTTCATGCCTCTGCAATACAAAAGTCTTACTGTATTGTAGAGACTATAAACTTACTTGAGACAAATACTCCATCACTGTATTTAGTTGCCTCCATTTTTGTTAATTGTTACACTGCCACTGTGAGCACGGACTCACAGTGACACTGGTTCACAGATTCATATCATGTGCTCTTTGTCATGTACTTATGAGCAGCAACAAAATGAATTTAAAAAGTAGTTTCAGGCTGCAATAGCATCACCATACAACAATGCCGGAAATAAATTTGAATTCATTTTGTGTGCAATATTCTCATGTTTCAGTTCTTTGCAAATTGATTTTCATGTTCTTCTGAAACAAATACGAAACAGCGGCTGCACCTGAGAGCGAGGAAATCTATGATGTCCAGATCAGCAAACAGGTAAACAGGTTAAGTATAAAAAAAATCATCGGCATATATGAAATAAATGTTCAGTCAGCAGAGCAGAGTGTGTATGTGTGTTTATTTGTGTTTGGCTGGTTAGTTACACACTGGCTTTTTCAGCAAGTATATAAGTTGCACACTATATCTGTCTCTGTCTGACTGCATGGATCATTTGTTATGTGCCTAGTACTGTACAATCAAAAGGTAGCATCAATTTTTAAAAAAAAGCCTTAGCGGAGCCTCCACCAGGAATCCTGAATAGCATGTAGCAGCAGTTACATCACGTCACAGCGTGGTATATTCAGTGGACATCTCGTCCTTTCCATCTCAGAGCTGTTCTGACAGATCATCCCTTGTGCCCACTCTATGGCTGAATGGTTTTGAAAAAACAAAAGCAATCGTGAAAACGAGACAGAGAAATAGACAGAAAAGCCAAGACGGAGATGGAGTGACATGTGCGCTTGTATGGCTACATAGATCTATTTCCTGAAAAGCACTCACGCACACGAGCAGCTGTTGTGTGAGCCACAAGAAAGTCATACACAAAGAGAATCACACACACACCATTCAGTGTTCAAAGATATGAGGAATGTGTTGTCTCACCTGTACATACCATAATTAATGTAGTACATGTCTAGACATATTTGTGGATTATGTAAACATGACCATACTTTGTCAAGGCAGCGAGCAACCTGTACAAACTCATGGCTCACAGATGGAGAGATCAGCAGACACTCAGGCAAAGTGTGAACCAAAAAGCCATCACAGAAGCTATGCTTCTAGTCTATGCTATAGGCACAGTATGAAGTCAACCTGAGAGATGTCGCCAGTGTGTGTTAGTGTGTCTAAGACACTTTACTTCTCTGCATTTGTTAATGGTAGATATGTCACAGTAAACGCTGTGCCTGATGCATCAACCGGACTCCCTAGAATGTGTTATTTTAGGTGCAAAAACATTCAAATTCACTAGAGAACTTGTGCGCTGTTCCTGCCAACGCTGACGCATCCCTGCCTCACTGCTGTGGACTCAGACATTCTGGCATACTGAGCACTTTTGGCAGACCTGTGAAATCTGCACTTTGAATTTGTTTGTCTAGAATTAAGTGCTTTTCTGTCCAGCACTGTGCAGTGGTAAGGCAGCTGATTCACATACTAAATCCTTACATGTCAATCACCTCTGGTTTCAGCTCTCCATTTAACCATCAACATAAATGGAAAATGAATGTGTGCTATGGGAAATCATCTCCTTGAGGATCTGTTGATGATAATGATGCATTATCAACTGTAATAGCATTTACCAGCATGTCCATTAGTTTGACACAAAACAGACAGACACATGTGCTCATGCATTAAACCCTAAAGAGCTTCTTCTCAAATGCACATTGTGACTCAAGCCCCAAAAATCAAGTCATCCACACTTCTCATAAATGATAAGAATGAGCGTTTCACTTCTTGTAGAGCCTAATCAGTTATGAGAAGCTGCAGGATGCAAGTTTAGATAACAGCCCTTCCTTCAAAGCTCTTACAGCTATAAGCACTCATCACCATGGTGTGTTTCATCTCCGCTGCCTGGACAGCAATAATCAATCTGATGGCACCAAAAAACATGGTGTTTATCTCTGCCTGTGAGCCACACAGCGGAAGCACACATACATTCACAGCAGATGATTTTTCACAAGAGAAACTACCTAAATACAAATACAGCACAGGCAGTGGGTCTTATGATGCCCCACCAAGCGCACGTGTTTTTAAAGATTTTGCTATAGGACTCCTGCCTAATATAAATTTTGTAAAATAACATAAGTGCAGTTCTAACTAACTGTTCACCTTGCTTTGCCAAACATGACAAAGGGAGGTGCACAACAAAGCCTAATGCAACGGTGGTTAAGTAGGGTCTAGGGAGCTCCAGGGGTTCCTGAGGAGGCTCCATAGGCTCCAGCAAAATGAGAAACTGTTTAATTTCACAATTATTTCACTCACTTGATAATAACACAATGGGAGCATGCATGCTACTGTAATCTTTCCTCATTAGAGGTTTTACTCTCCCTGCTGTTGTCAGACATCCAGTGCAGACAGCTATGCAGCTTTATAGCCAGTTAAAGCCTAGAAAGAAGGAAAGAGTTCCCTTGGACCAAATATTGTCAGATAAGTGTCTGTGGTCTAATGCAAATCTGTCTGGGGGTATCTTGATGTGAACAGTCTGACTGCCTTTAAGGTCCCTTTTATATGAGGTGCTAAAGGTCCTGAGTGGTCATATAGTGTATAGCCAGCGGATAACAACCTTGTGAACTGCGGTTTGATCCATCGCATCTGAGATGTACTGGCACAGCAAATAATAATGCTTCAGCTGAGTGCAGTGCTCGGAGAGGTAGCCTTGTGACCCGGGTACAACTCATAAACTGCAGTGCGGCATCAGCTGTATTAATTTCACACAGTGGTCCCCATGTTTCCTTACACGGGTGAATATTTCATTCCCATCTTCAGTGCGTGTTGTGCAAATTAAAGATGCCCTTCAAATGGCTGATCGTCTACAATAACACATCTGCGGGGCAACGTGGTGCACTGTAAATCAGCTTCACACCCATAAAAGTATCAGCACTAGACTGTCTGGTCGGTTTTACAGTGTGAGAGAGGGCAGAATCAGCCTTTTGGGCTGCGTAATAGACTGTTAGACTATTAAAGCAAGCAAAAAGCAAAATCATTCATCTGGGGGCTAAAGTTGGGACTTACTCACCCCTTTTGAACATTTTATAGGCCTAGGTGTACTTCGTCTTCTGACCTCGGAGAATCATCTATTCTTATATTCCAGATTTTAAACTTGAGCGCCTTCGTTTTGATGTGGCGTTAATGTCAGCTGTCACTCCTTTGGATGCTCTTGCAGTCCGCTGTAGCGAGTTGTACCGCAGGCTGCCGTGGCTCTGGTGAACACTGACAACAAATAATAATCCCCCTTTCCACAAAGTCTGGCGGACCTGAGTCGGACCTGGGAAATTAGGCGACAATAATCGCGAAGCAGACTCGCTATAATTATCCCCTCAGTCCGAAATCACGGTAACTCCAGTGCGTGTGATAGGCACAAGCGCACAGCATGGTATTCCGATACAAACGCTGACAGCAACTCCTTCTTACACGCACATCATAACAGTAAAGGCTGCAAACCAGTTTCTGAGGGCAGGTCGACGGTGAAGACAGGCAGTCTGCAAATAAACCACAAAGATGTGAAATGAAGTGGCCACTGTCAGATTGTTCTCCTGGTGCCTCAGAGCCCTTCGAAGTGCGTCCTATTCGTTCAAATATCCAATTAACACAAGTTATTTGGATTCACATTGCGCCTCTGATGCTGGATTATAAAGGCAGCCTCCTTAAATCCTCCTTAATAATGTAGACTCTGATGCTTTGATGATTTCAGTTTTCCTAAAATCCCCCCTCTTCAGCTCTCCTCTCCACTCGTAGGCTAATTGTCACATTTCTGTGATCTAGTCTGTGTCGGTCTGTTTGCTTTCCACCTATGGATCAGAGCTCGTTGTTGTTCTCAAAGAGGGAGAAAGTGTATTGTAGCCTATTGCCTCAGCCCCTCCACCGGGCAGCTCCCTGCTCCGTCCCTCTCGCTGCCTCTGTCCCTGTGCCAGCTGACATGCTTCCTGATACCAGCGCACATATTAGGAGACACAAGAGAGTAATACTTATGCTACATGCGACAACAATATAACCAATAAACAATGCAGGAGAGTTTTGTGAAGCTTGTTGTTGCGCTTTCTTTGAAATAACCCGAGCCTCCACCCAAATCAATAGACTATCTTATCGATAATGGAGTTCTCTCTCTCTCTCTCTCTAAAATTCAGATTCAGAGGGGGTTTACTGGAACTAAGGTTTCAATAAACAATGTTGACGAAGCATCAAAATACAATTTACAACTTATAAATAATTAATTATTTGGACAATAACAACATTAACATCAATAGGCTATGTAGGCTGTTAATTATATCATATGCGTGTGCGTGCGCGCGTGTTCTTTTGGAAAGTGAGGACATTTTGTCTTCACTTTGTGAAACACATTTTTGAGGGTTAAGACTTGGTTTTAGAGTTAGGTTAAATCTGGTTTAGGTTAGGGTTAGGGGCTTAAGTCATTGAGTGTCCTTACAAGGATAAAAGTACAAATAAGTGTGTGCGCGCGCTTGTGTGTAGATTATTCTGTACCTCAGGCTGTGGCATGTTGATGCATATTGGGCAACGATGCTGTTTCCTCACTCACATTTTGCAAATGATAATAAAGATACGCAGCGTTACGGTGCAAATTAGGCTATTTTTTAAACATTTTATCTTAAAAAATAAACTTGAATTAAAATGTAGCACTCTGAATTGACTGCTATAGGCTATAAATTCCCTTTCTTGTTGTATTCGATTTTTTGTTTGTTTTATATTATTTTATATTCATTTTATTTTGTTTTACTTTGATTCAGTTGTATTTATTTATAGTTTCTTTGGTATTTTAAATAGTTACTATTACTTTTTGTTTTTAGTTTCGTTCTATTTGTTCTTTTATTACATTTATGTTTTTACAAATTTAAATGTTATTTATATGGCAATGATCTATTTATTTTTATCTTATTTTATTATAACCATTATGAACAATGGACATCTCACTTAAACTCAGAAACACACCGTGTTGTTCTCTTGCCCATCACTATGGTCCAGCTCCTGTCCCATTCATTGCCATCGATTACATCGGAGCTCAACTTCTCTCCTCTGAAATCTTTAGTCGATTGGTTTTGGCTTTCTGTCGCTCACATGTTTCATGTTTGGGAGAAACAACATGGCAGCACCTTCAGGTGAAGGCCTGCCACAAAGCCCGCAGGTAAATATGATACGGAACGGGAAATATTTAATAGAAGAGACAGAGAATACAAATTCTGTGAATACTTTATATAACGTTAGATAAGTCGCCTCCGCGTCAACGAGGCGACACTTCGTTGTTTCCAGCGCAGCACAGCAGTCCGACCGGGTAGCCTTATGTGTTTACTGACGTTAGCTATACAGCCTTTTGTTTTTCTTAACTAAAAAGTTACACCCAATGAGCACTCAGTGTGTTGTCCTGACTTCAGAGGGCTGACAGATTAGCTGTGAATCAAGTAAAAGATGTGTGTTTCATTATTTTCCAAAGGATCACTGTTCCCTAGTAATGTTTGATTCGGACAGTGTAAACACAGTAGCACGCCTCTGCAGCTGATCTGACAGGAAACAAATTCGTATAAATGGCCTGTACGTGAAAACGCAGTTACGTTTATATTCACATTGTTGGCCTGCTGATGTTTTTCGGGCATTGTAAAGGATGTGGTTTAGAGACCAGAGCCAGTGTTTACAGGCTGTATGGATAATTACAGTATTCTGTGAATAATTATAATGCTGACAAAAGAATATTTGCATTGTTTACATTGGCGATCTTGTGTTTCCAACATGTTGTTGCACCTGCAGCCTAACATCATTTAAGACATTGAAGAATTTTCTGCCGTTTTGCACCAGTTTGTCAGACCAGAAGACAAACACAAAATACAAGGAAATTGTTTTGAATATGAACATATTCTGTCTTCTGGACATGGGAAGCACTGGTGTAGTACTACTATAACACCAGCAGCTGATTCCAGTTTTCAAAAGATCAACAAGACCAAAATGATTTGATCTGCCAAAATGTCTCATACCCTTCAAGTCAACTCTGTATCCAGTGAGTTGAGGCAGGACTGTGGGCAGAGAGGTGAAAGGTGATGATGATCCTTATGGCCCACCTAGAAGGGCCTACAAAAGGTTTAGACTGAAATGATCTCAACATTTTTTCTAATGTTTTTTTCATTTCTGAGTTTATTGTTAAGTAGAGTAGTGCAGATTAATGACAGATGGAGAAGTCATTTTGAGTGAGTGCAGTTTTTTGTTTGATTTATTTAAGGATTCATTCATTTTTAATGAAGGATTCTGATGTTTTACTGGTGTTTTTTATTTGTGATTCAGATATGCAATTCACTTAGACAGTTTTTCTACATTGTAGATTAAATACATTCAAACTATGAAATAACCCACTGAATTTTGTAGTAAGTGAGTAATTGTTAAACAAAGGAAGGTATGTTTACATTTTTAGAGACCTTCTGCTTTGATGACAGCTTTGCACACTGTTGGCAATATTGTAACCAGCTTCATGAATTAGTCAACTGGATCTCACCTGATCTCAGAAGCTAAGCAGGGTTAGGCCTGGTTAGTGCTTGGAAGGTGGGACTTCCATGTGCGTGGCCACATTATCCACTGAGGTTGCACATATGTGCCGGTCTCAACCCCAGATAAAATAAAATGAGAGGATTGCATCACAAAGGGCATTTGATGCAAAACCTGCACCGAATCACATATGTGGATTGCAGTAATCTGCTGTGGTGACCTCCAAACAATGGGCAGCAACAACTTAACTAGCTGGCTTCCACAACACACTGTTAGCGATTTGTGATACACTGATCTGTCTGATTTGTCCTTAGTGGAACTGTCACTACCTCATGAAGCTGGTTGAGAGAGTGTGCAATGTTGTTATCAAAGCGAGCAGGGTCTACTTTGAAGAATCTGACATTTTAAACTTGTCTTGCTTAGTTTACACCAGGGGTGGCCAATTCCAGTCCTCGAGGGCCGCTGTCCTGCTTGTTTTCCAACTATCCCTGCCTGACCTGCTGCTGATTACCTGGCTCAGGTGTGTTCAGCCAATCAGAAGCAGGACAGCGGCCCTCGAGGACTGGAATTGGCCACCCCTGGTTTACACTTTATTTTATCGGTTACATGCAATTCCATATGGTATTTCATAGATTTGATGTCTTCAGTTAATCTGCAACGTAGAAAATCATGGAGACCTTTGAACAGTGCTGCATATAGATAGCGAGTTCAGTGACTACAGGAACAATTACAGTTGCACTTTGTAAGTGTTTACTTTTACATTTGCATTTGTTGGAGAGAGAAGAATCTCACAGTTATGCCAAATACAAGTGATGCAAAGAAAAGTGGTGCATAGTCTTGCTTTAAACATTGGGGAAAAAAGAACTTGTACCCAAAATTTAATATATGGCCAGTGTCATAGGGCAATAGTATAAGAAGTAATACATTAAAAATGCTGGTACTGTTCTCATATTAGAGTGTACGGTACATTGTGATTAAAATCCTAGAACAAGTGGGGCTAACTTAAAAAAAAAAAAAAGAAAGTAAAGTTTCTCCCATTTCAGCTGGCATTTCAAGCACTCCAGTAGCTCAGTAGCTTAGAAAATAATTTTGAAAAGATGCTACAAGGGCAGATTTGTGATGCTCTCCAATTCCCCACCTCTCATACCTCATTACATGTGGTCTATCACTGCAGGGGGGGTGCAGTTGTAGAGTTTAGATGTGGGAAAACAACTTTTCAGAATTGCATCCCCCCCCCCACTCCTGTTTGAAAGTGAGTCTAGCTTCATTTGTTGCATACTGATGGGTACAGAAGGCTTCTGCTAAATAACATAACTTATAACTTGCATTATTATCTGACTGTGGCCTTTTGCCTGATTGTCTTGCATGTGATCAGCTTGTCTACAAAATGTAAGCAGAGCTAGGTCATTTAGATATGATCTGCTTGCTTCAGCCTGTGTTCACTTGGTTGCTATGAGCTCAGCCATTTAACTTTCCCTTTAGTCCGAGGACCACGGCGGGTAACCAGTCATATTCCAGATGAAATCCTGCAAGACCCTGAGTTACAGGAGGCAATCAAAGCCCTGCCTGCAAATTACAACTTTGAGATCCCCAAGACAATTTGGCGGGTGAGACAAGCAAAATCTAAGAGAGGTAAGCTCTGTTCTGCTCCCTGTTCTCTACACTTGATTCATTTTGTACATGATTAGGAATCTCTGTTAACACAGCCAGTCACTGAAGTTGCTGTAGGGGAAAAATACCGTATTGCGAATGCTAGGAGAGTAGTTGCACAATAAGCTTTATTGCAGCACAAGAATTTCAGCTGAAAATCAGTGTGTGCGAGTGGGAAAAATAATTTTGGGTGCACAGGTGCGACTGACTCAGAGTTATTTGGGTTCTCAGTTTGTAAGGACCTGAAATATTTATCAGTACTCAAAGAGACCAGCGAGTGAGATTGGTGGATTGGAAAATATGGTCTTAGAGTTTATGGAGCGATTTCCCCTCTCTGTCACATTTGGCAGCATTGATTGTGGATGCGGCTCAGCTCCTCCACACACAGACTGGACAGCAGCTGAGAGCCAGTGGAGAGAGGGAGGCAGGTGAAGTGAAGCTTTATTCAAGGTGACAACGCCTATGTTTGTTACTGTGCATGAAGTAAAACCTCTGTGAGTAAAAAAAGCCAGTAAGACTATGCGGCCATCGATAGAGACTGTACGGCTGTGTCTGGCCCATCCACTAGTTCAGACCTACTCCGTTCATGAACGTTCACCGTTCATGTGTTTGTATCGTTTGCATTGTTAAACATTGAGACAGCAACATTAATACAATTAAAAAGACTCCCAAAATTTCATTTGTGCAAATATTTTAATGTATTTATTTATTTTTGTTTAGCTGCACAAGCACACCTAAATTAAATGTAAGCATTGAGCCACAAAGTTTAATAGGGTCAGGGTGGTCCACCCCTAAGAAAATGGGAGGTCTAACACTATATGGACTAGGGGTGGGACAATTCACAGAATTCAAAGCTCGGTTCATATCACGGTTTTAGGGGGTCACGGTTTTTGGCTCAGTTTGCTACGTTTTTGGTAAAGGAGGGGGGAGGGTCCTGCCAATTTCAACATGCTTTTCATTTATTTGTCCACTGTTTCCACAGTGAGATCCGTCATTCATGCATAACCTGTTTATTTTGCTGTTGCACCCAGCACTACCTTTGAAAAAAGCCAGTCACACCTTAAATAAATTTCGCTGCAAAATGTGACTGATTACTTGTTAGCATGTGTTAGCATTCTTTGGTTTGGGGGGAATTCTCCCAGGAAATGTGCTTATGTGTTATTGGCAGTTGGAAGTCTGCACTCACATTGCAGCTCAACTCAAACTGCTTCTCATCAGGCATGCAGCACAGATGTTTGTGTGCAGTGTAACTACCGTAAAACAAACATGAGAAATCAGATTTTCTTTAATTTAGTTTTTGGCACATATTGTGAGCAGAAGCAGGCTCATAACCAACAAACATTTCAAAGCAAAAGTTAAAAGATTTTGTTTATTTACTACAGGGCAACGATTTCTGACAGACTGACCAGATGACTTTTGTCTTTTGTTCATTGATTATATTTCAGGATGGAAGTTGTTTAAGCTGACACATGATATGGGTCACTATGGGTCGCAGAATAATCAGATCTGTGCATAACAATCTCAGCTGGGTAAAAGGATCTGCAGTGGAATTGTAGCCTCAGGACTAAAAGAGTGTGGGCACAGTGGGAGGATTCACTGATTCACATTTTATTTTTTTGGCTCCAGAAGAGCCTTTTGTAACATTTGACAATGTTACATTGCTATTATTAGGCAGAGCTATTTTTCAGAGTTGCATAAAAAGAAGCAAAGAATCAGGAGGACTTGTTATTACATCGAGTATTTCACTTCAGATAGTTTGCAGCGTGTTCATAAATTTGGACCCAGTGACAATCAGTATAGGATTAGCCTACTACACCCCAATCCTAATCATGATCCCATCTGTGTGGGGTGAATGCTTGTACTGAGAGTCATGTGTTGGGATCCTTATCTAAGGAAGTACACCTTGTTTTAAGATGCTGCTTATGACAAGCCACACACCCACACACAGCTGCTTTTCATGTTTTTTTTTGCATAGTAATTAAATTAAAGGCATAAATAATGTGAGAGAGACAAGCTTCTAATGTCTACTGAACTCAGACTCACAGAGTAGCTGACATACACTGAGCCCCAGAGTAGAGGGACTCATGTGTACGAAAATAACCTGCAGTCACAAACCTGGGTTCAACCTCAGCAATACGGTTTCAGTGTGAAAACACCTTTATTTTGGGACTTCTTCTGCACTCGACCTGAATCGCAACTCCTGTGTCTTCATTTTAGTGGTTTAACAAGATGTAACCTTGAAATTCGCTTATCTGTAACGTGGCGGAATTTGAAGGGCTAATGTGAATTCTCCACCATTTAGCTCACGGCCAACTCACTGACGTTTCCATTTACCTCTAAACTAACAAGTGAAGCCACTGTAAGAGATCCACCATGTGTATCTGTGTATCTGTCTAGGTACATGCTGTATGTGTGTTTGCATATGTATGTATATTGGTGTAAGATGGACTTTAAAATGTGAGCTTACTTCAGCTTCTGCCCTCATGCATTGTCACATGTAGGTTTTGTCATGTGTAGGTTTTGGCACTCCCTGTGAAACAGATCATGGTGTAGTGTTACAACTGCAGCCTCCAGCCTGAGAAAAAAGTCGTCCTTCACTAATATAAATGTCAAAGTTTGTAGTTTCTCAGTTGTTCCTGCCTTAGGTAGAAATATGCAGATGGCACGCCAAGAGGACTGAATCATTTTCGAGATGTCCCTTTGGGGAATGTGTGGTTTACTGCAGCCTGCTGGCTTTGCTTTCTTGTTGTGTGACATTTTCTTTTATCTGAGCTCGTTCTCTCCGTCTCTGAACTCAGAGAGCATAACTCACCTTCTCACCCTTGTCTCTGAAATCGAGCACTGAGGAACACACAGCAGAGCAGAGTTTATAAATAGCCAAAAGCTCTTTGTTGTTTTGCCTAATTTTCTCATTTAATTTAATTGTATGATGTTTTGATATAATCTGTTGTGCATCACAGCGCTTTACTGGAGCAGCTTAGCTGCGTAGTAACGGGTTTAACTGCTGTTGGCTGCCTGCTGTCTTCATTGCCGTAACACATTCAGATAAGATAAAAACAAGTGAACAAAAGTATAAATAGGTGATAAAAGCTAGATGAATCTAGTGTTTTCTTTGTTTCTATTTACAGAGATGCAGTTGTTTCAGTAACATGTCTGGAATAGTAATTCAGGTCAGTGAAGGAGGATGGAGGCTCTTCAGGCGAACCATTCACAAAATAGACACAAGACACGTCATTATTCACATTCTGATGGAAATATGGCTAATTGTTGGGAATACTAAATGTTTTAGAGAAAGTAAATGTTCCCCTGCCAGCCCTGGTTTATTTCTCTGAAGCTATCATACATGTTTCCAGATAAAAACACCTGCCCTTGGTGTAACACCCACATTTCAAAACTAATGGTTATTTAGCTTTTTCTGGCCTTGATTATGAAATCATTAGCTGAAACTATAGACCCTGGTAAATATTTCTTGGTTATTTTCAGCTGCTATGTTCACTGCTGCTAAATTTGTTTTTTACCTTGTAAACTAATCATCTTTGGTCAGGGTTGCGTCAGGAAGTGCATCCGGCGTAAAACACGTGCCAAATGTCAACATGCGAGTCGTCAGTATGAGGACTCGCTGTGGCGACCCTTAAACGGGAAAAGCCAAAAGTGACTTTGTAACTAATTAATTTATATATTTAATAGATGATCAGGTTAGACATAATGCAGCTCATCACAAACAGCAGCCTCTAAAATAGCCATGAAGTTGAGTCAGTATCTCTCTAAAACAACAAAAACTCACTATTATAAATGTGATGAAGGTAGAGTATAGCTAAAGTTTTAGCTTGATGTACGTAATGTGCTTCACCTGAATGTTTCACTATGCCCACTGTTCTAATATTGTTCACTTTTACACGATTTATGTACACACATGCACTTCTGTTTGGATGTTCACGTTGCATTTTTCTTTTTGACAATTCACTTCTAAGCATAAATATTATGTTACGATTTCACACAACTAAAATTTAGTCTGCTAGGGAATAAACCTCATCTATAGCCCTATTCTGATCTTTCTAACCAGAACAAATTCTGAACAATCCCTTGGCTTTGGCCATTCAGTCTGCTGCTCACTGATAAATTGGCCGTCCCAGCACTTCCTTAGTTTACCTTCTGTCTAAGATTGTTAACGTAATCCCACCTGTTAGTGTTACAACAGTATGCACAGTATCAGTCAAAGGTTTGAGCACACTTTCCTATTGAAATGAATGGGAAAGTGTTCAAACCTATGACTGGTGCTGTATGTCAGAGGACAATAATAGTACACGATTGGTGATTGACCTTTCATGTATAAGCAAAAAGTGAACTTATTGTCAATGCAAACTGAGAAAGCTGCCTGTATGTAGTTAAGGATGGGAAATGTCACACATTTTTTTGGAGTAGATGGTTTAAGCGAATGGCACGTGAAGCCATTTTATTTCTTTGTAGATCCATGCCGTGTATGAGCTCAGTTATTTTGGAGCAGCTGTGTACTTCCAGAACATAGAAGCATCTTACTGTGATTGTGTGCAAACTGGAACATGCATTCCTACTGCCGGTCCCACCTCCAGCATTTGGCTCAACATTCACTGTGGGCAGCAGACGCAGGAAGCTCTTTGCTTTTCTCAGCTGTGGCGAGTTGTGTTAATAAACTTGTCCTTTTCGAGGTAATGACCTGTCTCTCAATGTTTCCATGAGCTCTGGGTGATCCCTGAACCTTTTGTCAGTACAAAGAGCTCTCAGTCCTCCACTTTGCACCATCCCATCTATCACTCCATCACATGAGCATCCTCTATCCACCTGCCCGGTGTGTCTGTCTGAGCGTTTTTTTATCTAATGCTGGTTGGCTGACTTGAAATTGTTTCAGGCCAAGTCATGTGAAAACAGTTGTGCGCTGAATTTGAGGTCTTCAAATTGTAAGCGTCCACTTAGATGTCGCTGGATCTATTGAAGTAAGGGGTGACAGAGTTTGACTGGGAGAACAGTGTCACAGTTGACTGAAACAAAGCCTTTGTCTGCGGGCGCTCGCTCCATGTGCCTAAGTTAATGGCAGCAACTTCACACTGAGCCGGTCGACACCTTGTCGTTGCATATTTGTAATCATTTTAACTCTACATGACACATTAATAAATAGCTGCTTCACAAAGGGCATCAAATGAAAATATGAGAACTTATGAGAGGAGGCTTTGCTGATACACAGACACTGTAGTCTAATATGATCCCAAGCAACACAACATCTGTATTTCCCACTGCTGCAAACAAAAAAAAAAACACCTTTACAGTGACACAAAATTGGAAGTTCATCTAACCTAATTGTAGGTTCTGTATTCAAAACTTTATTAGATTTCAATACATTTTATCAAATGTGAAGGTTAAATCTTAGAAAATATGTTTATCTGCATCTGAAGCAAGAGATTGTTTTCACAGAATTCTTTCACATTTTTTTTCCCTCAAGATGTGAAAGGACTCTGTGAAAACACAATCTCTTGTTGCCAATGTGGAAATATGCTTTTATTGATTTAAATGTCCTGATACAAATTAAATGATGCTAATATTCCTCCTGGTTTTTTGATTTGACACAAGATATTGATATTTGCTGCAAAGAATAACAGAAATTGAAGTTGTTCTATTTATCAACCACTACATTTATTAGTATACACTGCTAGTCAGAGGTCTGGCCACACTTTCCCAATCAGTTCAGTGACTAGTTGTGTTTGTTCATTGACATTTTTGCTGAAATAATGAATGGATTTGGTCAGTTAATATAAAATAAATCTCCCAGTATTTACAGGAAATGAACTGATATAACATTTTACACTATGCATTTTTAAAATTGCAGACCAGGGTGAGGACAAAGAGTGAAACTGTTGTTATATTAATGGGGAGTTCCTTCTCACTGCTTTCCTTACTAATTTCCTTTCTGTCACTCAACTTTGCCCAGTCAGGTGGAATTCCACTGTTGTCATGCTTGATCGGCTGTTAGTTGCGTAGTCTGTTCTTGCTGATGAAACTGTCACCAAACCAAATGTCCAAAATCCATTAGCAATGAGGGCATCGCAGTGGGAGCTGGAGGAACAGTAGCCCGGTCACCATTTTTGTAGTACAAAGTACCGGACTCGTCTCCCAGAAACAGGCAGGACATGGCCCTTCACTACACCTAACTGAGATGGACAAACTAGATGCAACCACCTAGTCACTTATAATCTTACAGTCTTTTCTCTTGTAAAAGTAAATGTTTATAAAACTCTTCTAATGAAGCTTGTCCAAGTGTGTTTTTACCTCCTCTTCTCCTTGTTCTGGTGTGCCAAGCAGCAATTTGCTCACTGCTGCCACTTGGTGGTTGGGGAGGGACGGGTCACCCAATTCAACTGGTCCAGTAACATCGAGAACCTGTTAAAGCTGGGTTTGTTGATGATGTCACGATGACATCATCAGCAGCTAGTTGAGCTTAAATATCGGTCTGTCTGAGATGGGGAAACTACGAGGAAAATGCTAAACATTCATGAGACTAATGTCATCATAAATCCAAAACTAACAACAGCATGATAAACATCTGTATTATAGAACAATTTTTAAAGTTGTTCAGAATGCTTTACATTAAAAAATAAAACAAAAGTTAACATGAGTCAAAAAGCTTAAATACAAAATTCTGAAACCACAACAATAACAAGGCAATTTTATTAAGATGAGTTTTATGGATGGATTTCAAAGGGGACATTAAGTTAATGACCACATAACAGCGATATTCTGTTGCCTGTTTTGGGCGTTTTTCAGTGGCCAGATAATGGCTTAATTTTTATTACCAATTTCTTTTCCTTCTCAGAAGCTCATTCATTTTTATTTGATTTATTTCAAATCCCCCTCCACACATGCTTTGTGCATACCCTTGTGCATATGTGCACACGGATGAGGGACGCTCACGCGTGCCTATTCGTACTCCAGATTGAGTGTCTGCCTTCTGTAATGTACACCGACGGTTTCAAAGCATTGTGGTACATGCAGTACCACAGTACAGTTGGGACTTGTGCTGTGTGGACGGTCCAGACGCAAACTTTAGGCCTGCACACGGACGTCTGCACAAAGTCCACACCGACCCTCGCAGACCTGGGAAAATGAAGAAAATGAAATAATGTGCGAAGCGTGATTAGCCTCTTAGTGAGAGCTCCAAAGAAGATACAGTATGTTTCCTTTGCCCACCACAACCATATTTCATATAATTGCACCTGTAATGCTGAGAAATGCATATACATTAGCTGCAAATCCTGCCAAATGTGCATTGCATGATGTCTCCAGGCATCATTTGCATGAGTTTTCTTTGAATGGACATGCATAAAGGAATGAGCCATACTTCAGTTGCAGCTGTGATGACAGGCAAGCAGAGCTTCCACACCCTTCTGCCTGTTTGATAAAATAAAGATGCTCATCTCTTGATGCAGAGTGCGTCTGAAACGGGGCACAAACCTCTTAGCAAATTCTGGACTAAATGAGGTTTTTCCATTGGTTTATCTGAGTTGGAGTCACACATCAGTAGATCAGTGGGTCCTCAGTTGTCAACATGCAACGCCATCAGCAAGAGTAATTCTTGTTAATTGGTTTCTTGAGTTCAATTTTACAGCAGCTCTATCAGCTTGTCCATATTAAATATTAGCTTTGAGGCATTAAGGGACTGGGATGTGGAAGGAGGGGGTTTCAGTAGCACAGAGAGAATGTTTCTCACAGAGCCGGTGACAGAGAAAGAGGAAAAAGAAAAAGAGTATAATGACTCTGTACAGACCATGAGCTGTATAGATAGACCTGTGTTGATTGGCTTGGATTGTATTTCCAACAGCCCATCACCTGCTAAAATATAATAAAACAGCATGGCAGAGGGGAAATTGCCTGGAAACGTCACTATTTGCTGTCACTGGAGCTCTCTGAACATGTAGCAGGGCCTATGTATAGCTGTGCTGTCCAGGATTTAGTGAATTATGTGTGATGTCGCTGTCACTCTAACACAAGTACGTAACTTTTCTGTTTGCTTTTCCCATGCTCTCCAGTGGCTTTGCAGCTTCCAGAGGGCCTCCAGATGTTTGCCTGTGTCATCGCTGACATCATTGAGAGGTGAGGTGGAAAAAACACACAAAAGGTTGTGCGTTTTGGTTGCTTATGTTATTAAGAAATTGAGTAAGCAGCAGTGGAGCCATCAGCGTATATGTTGAATGGCACTGGAAAAATCTGAATAACCTTGAAAAACTATACATTGTTTAAAAGCACAGTGCCTCATGATTTTAACAGTGTAAACAATTTGTGATATTAATATCACAGAAATTCAGCTCCTTGTTTTTATTAAGGGTGCATCAGAGTGAAATGGTAATTTCTTAACTTTTCTGTCATTTGGGAAATTCTTACTCTAAGCGTTATTGTGAGACTAATATGTTTTGCGTTACGCACCAACAAAGCTGTTATACATTCTGATGTGAGACTTGATGGAACAATTCAGAATGCTCAGTTATAGGGCTTTTCTCACCAAACACTGGCCTGGATTTGTCCATTTGTGGCTGTCACTTTACTGTATTTCTAGGCTCACCAGGCACACCTGCAGAGTCCGTTTTAAATTCAAAAAGAAAAATTGAATGTAACATTTTTACCAAGTTTGTGCCTCTGTTTGTTTGAATATGGCTTAGGCTAAAGCTGAATGTTTGATAGTAAACTACAAAGAGCTACTCTTCACAAGAAACCAGGGAACCGAATGTAATCCTGAGGGTGCAAGATTAGTAACCATTTTATTTTGGGTATGACATTTTCAGGTTTGTGCACAAAAAAAGGGGGATGCTGGTTAAGGGGCCAGGCATTCAACTGAAAATGAGGCACAATTATACTGTTTTAGATCTGAGCACATATCACTGCTTCCCATGATCAATGTTGGAGGAGGGAAGAGCTATTATTCTTGTTAATTACATCTTGTTTTACTCCGCACTTGCCCTATTACAAGTCAGCACTCCATCACAACTGCACCACAGGGCTTTTTGTGTGTGTGTGTGTGTGTGTGTGTGTGTGTGTGTGTGTCATCCTGCAACAATAAGTTCTTCAGAGTCATCTTTTCTGGCCAAGTATGTTAAACACACAAGGAATTTGACTCCAGTACACGGACTCTCAATTTTTGTTCCTGTAAGGCAGCAAGAAAATATGTGCATTTAATTGGAAAACATGTACAATCAAATAAGAAAGGAGAAGAAAGAGGGGGGAGGTCTGTGTCCTGTTATACAGTCATGGATTAAATGTTGATCAGAGTGATGGCCCAGGGACAGAAACTGTCCTTGTATCTGGTTGGTTTGGCTTACGGGCCTGGACGACCTGTAGCACTGTCCAGAGGGGAGGAGTTCAAACAGGATGTGAGGGGTCTGTGGAAATCTTCTCTGCCCTCCCTACAATGAGGTGTACAGGTCCTCCATGGAGGGCAGGCTGGCACCGATGAGTCTTTCTACAGTCCCAACTGTCCACTGGAGTCTGTACTTGTCCTGTTTGGTTGCTGAGCCAAACCAGACAGTGATGGAGGTGCAGAGAACAGACTCGATGACTCCTCTGTAGAACTGTATCAGCAGCTCCTGGGGCAGGTTGAACTTCCTGAGCTGGTACATCCTCTGCTGTGCCTTCTCGGTGATGGTCCTGATGTTGGAGACAGTGGAGCCCAGGAACTTTCAAGGACTCCACTGCTGATACAATTCTGCTGAAAAGTCCACTGGCATCTCCACTGTTCTGAGCCTGTTCAGCTCCAGGTTGTTGCAACTGCCACACGGGGGCAGCTGTTCAACCTCCCATATGTACGTAGACTCGTCACTGTCTCGGATGAGACTGATGGCTGTTGTGTCATCTGCAAACATGAGGAGTTTAACAGCAGGTAATCCTGAGGTGTAGTCGTTTGTGTAGAGAGAAAAAGTCAGCACTGAGTCTGCTCCAGACATAATAGCTTGTCCTTTACACTATACTGTGGCTTGGCCTTCACTGCATTTAATTAAATTTGTATTTCAGTACTTGGGAAAAAAAAAACAAAATAGACATACTGAAAAAAACTGAAGTACAAGAAAAAACAGCTTTGTTTTGTGTTGTTTTCTCCCTATTGTCTCTGTGGTCTCATTTGGCCTTCCTTTCTTAGGAGCAGGGTCTTTTTTTAACTCAAAGAAAATGGCTGCTATCATTAAATGCCCAGAGTGGATTTCTTTCCTAGGTGTTCAGTCAGTCAATCCTAATCTGATTGTGAGATGGACAAGATGAGGAATTATATGGCAGGAGCTGCTGTAAGCTTTTCAGACTGCCCGGATATTTGATTTCATACAGGAAACTTGGATCTCATCTGTTTGTCTGTCTTACTGTGCTGTTCATGACTATATGGACTTTCCATTACTGTGCCAAGACACATTTATTTACCCTACCAATGTTAAAACTTTGGTCTTACAGAGAAGGCAGGATGTAGACTCTATCTGCTTGTTTTCCACCATCATTTTGTTCATCTTTACTCCAGCTGCTCAGACCTCTGTTGCTTTATCTTTCTATTGCTGTCTTTAAAGTCATTTCTTCTTTTTTAATCACAAAGATGATAAAGTGGAGTTTTGATGAGTCTTATCATAACTGCTGCTCTCAGACTGAGAGCTACCACATACCTATACAGTCCACATGTATATTTTTGAACTGTCACTGTCCATCATCAAGTCTGCTAAATCAGCCCCATCTATACTAATGAGTGCAATTAGCAGACACTAATTGCTTTTCTCACTGTCTTCGTCCTCTGTCGGTTATCTCTCTCTGTTTTTCACCCTCTCTTTTCCATTTGTACAATTTCACCCCCAGGACAGAAGATGGTTCTTAGTTTCCTATCATTAAGTTGTGCTATACACTGTCCATTAAACTGTTTTGCATCCGATTGTGTGACTCTAACTAAGAATTTTCTTTGCAAATTCAGTCTTTCCAGATTTACCACGTGGGTTTTTTTAAAGCCTGTGTAAAGTACTGAGTTTCTGCCATCCTATGCACAGACTGATAGTTTGAACATGTTATTTAAACAGCAGTGTGAGTACTATTGCCTTCACAAAGTCAATGACAGACAAACATGATGGTCATCCAGGATCATACAACTTCCTTAAGGGAAATTTCCAGTGTATTCCAACTTGGTTTTTATTTTTGCATTTGTTATCAGTTATTATATGATTTTACTGACCAAGGTAATAGCTAAGTTCAGAAAACATGGTGTTGTTGCTGCAGCGGTCATATTGTCAACAAGACATGTCAGGCAATGGAAAAAAAGGGGTTAGGGCTTTGTCAAGCAATTGTAAATATAGTTTATACAGAATATCTAAACCACTTTATTTGGGGAGTAAGTTTAAAGTGAGTCCACCTGAAATGTTGGCAGTAATCTCTGATTGCACTCCACGGCTCCCACGTAGCATATATTGTCTCTGCATTATATTGTGTTCTTGTTGTAGTTTTATTTGCTTCCTTCACCTGCTGTTTTAAAGTGCCATAGATTTGTGATTTTACTGCCTATTTGGATTCGTGTTATTGCTCATCTGCTTTATATTTCACTTGTCTTGTGTGGCGTTCATGTGGATGGCAAAGTAAGAGTTTCACTGTTCAGGGAAACACATTTCCTAACTGTGCATATGACAAATAAACACTTTGACCTTGACCTTTGCGAAGGAAAACACTTTGCGCACACATCTATGGCAAGTGCTCTAGATCACAGTTGATCTATAGAGTCAGTCTATAAACAGTGATGGATGTGCTGTAAACAGCTGTGAGTTTGGGTAATGATTTCACAGTCCATGTTTTTTCTTCTGAATATGATTTAAAAAAAAAAACATATGATCCTTTTCATACTTATGTTTGACAGGACTGATGGGGATGGTGGCCAGAATTATGAAAATAAGGATCAAGTTGTAATAAATAGAAATAGTTCTTCAACTTTCGACTTGTGTTCACCAAATATGGTGCATGACACTTTTTGCCACAATAACCATGTCACCAAGAATCTGTGTGCGTATCTCAGAGCACACAGTAAACGGTGCAGTGTATGGTGAAGGCCAAAAGCATACATTTCATGACACTCGAGAAGTCCAGTTGCCTTTGATTTGCTCTCTGTAGATATTATGACCCTAAATTTTTTTAAACATGCTTGCTTATACTATGGCCACAAGAAGGTCAGTTTTAGTTGACAGCCACATCACGTATCAGTGCTTATGGGAGCAAATGGTAAATCTAAGGTCAGCACCATCTGTTGGCTCCCCATTGCACGATCTTCGATCTTGATGTGTGGATGGAATTGCAGCATTTGAAATGAAGAACTAGATGAACTCAAGGTCTTGGTTCAAGTTTGTTTCCATTTCATACTGTACCCAGAGAGATAGTGCCCTCGAAGTTAGGCTAGGGTTGATAACAGTCTCAACACAAGTGCTCAGAATATGGCTGATCCCTTTAAAGGCTTGGCCTGCAGGTGAAAGTCTGGAAGTTTAATCTGAAACCCCAGATGAAACTGCTTGTTCAGGAAGAGACCAGGAAATCCTGCTGCTGAGAATCTTGTCAGCGGTTCTAACTGGGATAGAGAATGGGGAGTATTTAAAGTAGACATTGCTGGAGCTACCATTTAGGACTGTAGCAAAAACCAAGCCAATAAATGCATTGGTGAAAATTTAGATAGTGGGCATAACCATCAAAATGTGGCTCTTCCATGGGATTGGAGGATTAGAGTGTGTTTGGAGAAAATGAATGACAGTAATCTTTGGATGTTGGCACAGCAGGCGACTGACCTTGTGCTTACCACTTTATTTTGAGGGTTAGCGGAGGTCCCAGGATTTTGGCGGCTCTGCGATCATCATCACTGCAACAGTACCTCGTTCCCAGGAGACAGGGCTGAGGTCCATGTCAGAATGGGAATGAAAGGGCTAAGCTGCCCTCAGAGTAAGGAGCTTCAGTGGTATGCACTGCTAGGTCTTAATGAGGACAGGCTGCTCTGAATAATGGCCATGCTGCAGTTAATATGCATTGGCCAAAACACCCTTTACATATGCACACTTTACAGGCACAGTCAGCCACGCTTAATATGATAGGCACTGCTGTTCTCTCGCTCCGTC